AAGCGGCCAAAAACCTCTAAATTCCACCTCTTCAAATCAGACTTAAGAAGTTTCAATTTCTGAGTTAATCTATAACTGGGGGAACCTACCACATTGTAACTCTCCCACCAACCACCCACCGTCGCAGCAAAACCATCTGCTTGTAACCACATGTTCTCAAACCGAAAAGGCAAAGGACCACTCCGAACTCCTCCATTGTCCAACAGAACTGCCCAATGGTCAGAAGTCGGCCGATGTAATCGGCATTGAAGCATCTGCGAAAAATGCTCCTCCCAAACCCCAAACACTAAGAATCTATCAAGCCGAGAACTAGCTCAGCCACTCGACCAGGTAAAACCGCCCCCCCGTAATGGCAGATCTACCAACTCCATCTCATCAATAAAAGCTACAAAATCCCTCATAAACCTTCCCATCGGACTTTCCCCAATCCTTTCCACCGGGCTCCTTACGACATTAAAATCTCCGCCAACACACCACGACAATCCCTATCTGAAAGCAGCATGCTGCAACTCCTCCTAGAAAGCGATCCGCTCTGAACCTCGAACTGGGCCATAAACCCCAGTGAACACCCACCAAAAATCATCCTCAAGGCATCTGAACAAATAGGACAGTGAGAAACCCCCTACTTCTACCTCCTCCATCACCACCACTCTATTATCCCAACACATGAGAATACCTCCAGCCACCCCAATAGTTGGTTGGAACGCCCACTCTACATGCCTCCCACTCCATAACTCCCGCACAAACACTAGTTCAATAGTCTCCATTACATCTGCCCTAGCAGTCCTTAATAAGGACTTAACGACTGTTCGTTTAACCTGATCATTTAGTCCCCTCACATTCCAAGTCAAAAGTTTTAGGCGCATGGCAACAAAAGGGGACCACCCCCCTCCCTTCTGACTCGTCGCTCTTCACCTTTCGTGGGTCGATCATAATTGATTGAGCACTCAAGTTGCTGCAACTCCTAAATCCCTTTTTCTGATGGACCAGTAGATTGTCTCTGTATACCCCCTCCCTTCCATGACGTTTCAATTGAGGAAAATAACTTCGAAGCCTCCGCCTCATGCCCAACAAATGAAACTCCTAGAAATTTACTAACCTCAGCAATACGGGGCAACACCCAGTTTGATACCTCATCTGAAGACGATGGTAGATCAGCTGGAAAAGCTTCCTGTAAGTCAATATCAAATTCTGGCTCTAAGTTTGGCAAACCGAGAACCTCATCCTCTGTGGCCAAAGGTCTAACCACTATAGCCATTCTCCTCATTCGTTGCCAGAAAACCCTCACCCCCCAGTGACTGGGTCGCGACTTCCATAGGTGGGTCATCCCCGACTTGTCCATTAGTGGAACAAGGTGTGGCGTTAGCCTCTGCCGCCAACTGACCAGGACGAAGCCACCTTTCCGAGTAGGTGGGCTGCTCCGGCGATGGTCGTGACCTTATTCCGTCTGACGGCCAACTCCCAGTCGGGCCGGTTGGCGGCTGCAAGCCAACACCCTTACGCAAAGATCCGAAAACTCGTTCGAGAGATGGGTTTGAACAAACCCTAGCCTCCACCCGTGGGCTGGGTACTCTATGTGCAGTAATTTCTGGGCCTAAAGTAGTAGGGCCCATTTGTTCCCTCACCTGGCCCAAACCCTCCACCAAAGACTTGGGCTGGCCCAGTCTCCTACTATAAACCACCCATGGTTTATTAGGGCCCAAACGTTGCTGTTCCATAGCCCAAACCCTTTGCCTCAAATGCTTCAACCTACCTTGATATCGAAACCCTACATCATCTCTCCCAAATCTACGCCCTGACCCACCAAATCCTCCATTCCCAAAATTCCGCCTATCATCACGCCGTCGTTGTCGATTTTCCTTCCTTGGCCACTCCCCTACGATCTCCCCCCGCTGGCCAAACCGTGGCAACCATGGGCCTAACTTCCGGCCATAGAGGGATCACATATAAACAATCCTCCCATCGTAACGAAATTTTAGTCGAAATGGTGCCATGACGTTGGACTTGCAATCAAACCACACCGAGATCCGCCGAAAGCTCATCGACCTGCACGAAACCACCACAACGATCACCAATAGCCCTATACGCTACCAGACCTCGAAGATGAAGGGGTAGGCCCAACATCCTCACCCACACAGGCGCCTCCGATGGCGTTTGGTTGCCCTTATCACACAAAACTAACGGTGTCCACCATTGCAGATGAAGGTCGCGCCCATCAACAACCCACCGACGTCGCAACACAGTTTTAGCGTCTTGACGTGAAGGGAACACAATGAGAAAGCCTTGTTCCCCTACTAGCCGGATCTCTACCTTGCGTAACGATCCCCACCACCGACCAACCCACTCTATCATCACAGAAAACCCCACACCCTTTTCCCCTACCTGACCCACTACGCCCACCAAAGCCCTATTCAATATATCAGACCACCCCTCTTTAGCCATCACCTGAACTGGAGTATCCGAGACAACCAGAGTTTCCGTTGCTATTCTCTTCACCTCTGATACCCTCGTCCCAATGCGAACCTTCGCAACCCAGCTTTCACCTCTGGCAAAACCCTCAATAACCAACGCCACTCTCCTAGCCATCCCCAAACTCAGAGACAGGGAGAAAAACTTGATGCCGACAACCTACAGTAGTGACCACAATTTGAAACAATTGGCCACCATCCTCCTCATCACGAACCCAGATTGCCACACTCCGACTCTTGCCATCCAAACAACCGAAGAAAGATTGGGTTCGGATGTTACTTGAGGTCAATCGTAACTTGGTAATAACCCAACTCACCTCGCAGCCGACCAAAGTCACTTCCCGGCGAAGGCCAGAGGCACGTTCCACAATACCCAAACGTCGATGCCCCCCCTGATCCACTGCTTCCTCCTGGAACTCAAAGGACCGACCACCGAGGAAGAGGATTCAACGCCGTGGGCCAACCTCCGCTCTCATTGGCAACATCCCAGGAAAGTCTACACCATTTACCGGAAATCGGCTCTATTTTTGGAAATAATAGAGAATCGTTCGTAAGAAGAATACTTTAGGTTTTAGCTATTTACTTTAGATTCATTAATTTGTAAACATTGGCCTACTCACCTGCCTCCTCCGCTAGGCACAATTCCTTGGGTGCTTAGTTATTTCCCATGTTGCACGGATTCGATAGTGCTGTCAGATATGGATACATGTCTAGCAGTTGGTTTTGGTCAAGATTTTACCATCGGACCAATCGTCTCCACTAGGAACTTTGATTAACCAAGGTTAAAATTTAGAAACCTAAAATTGGGCTAACAAAAATATGAGATGGAGTATTAGTAACAAAATATGAAAAGAAATGGGGACATTATGTAAAACATAGAAAGCTCAAAGTGGAGTCAAATCATGGTTTTGAAAATCGGACCAGATCGGCCAAATCAATTGGCTAAGAAGCATGGATACGGACACGGGCACGGACATGAACATGGACATGTAGACACGCAAATTTTCAAATAATCACGGACACGACATGTTGGGGACATATTTATTATATGTCATATTTTTAAATATTTAATATGTTTTTAATGTCAAATATTTAATTTGATCAAATTTATCAACTTTAGGTATGCTATTTTAGTAAAAAATAAAACAATTTTTAAAAAAAAAAAAAAAAAAAAATAGTCCTCAGTGTATCCTTAACATGTACCTAGCGTGTCCCAATGTGTACGTAGTGTGTCCTAAGTGTCCCAGTGTGTCGGAGACTTGTACGTGACCTCTGGAGAGATTTTCGTGCTTCATAGTCAACTTGTCATATCGGGAACCAAGCTTGGATCATGTCCAGACTAAGCACCTAAACCGTTTTATGTTAAAAATTGATTTCTTTTATGTAAATCGTTCGAACTAGCGGTTAAACCAGTAATTCGCCCAAATTGGAGCTAGTTTGACATTGGTTGAATTGAAGGCATGGTGCTGTTGTTGGGAAAAAATGTGTTGGGGGCTCGAACATGAAACCACTGCTTGGAAAGGAACTTTTTCAATCACTAAGCCATCACTGTGATTGTTAACAAATAAGATGAGTATATATTACTTATTCAATCTTCTCTCAACTTAACTTTTACAAGTCAATATATAAAAATAAAATGTAATTTTAAATATAGCTGACCCCATTTGACGGAACTTGAGGCTTGATTTGGTTTGGTTATAGTTTTTTATTTATTGCTTTTGTAATTTTAGTACTTGTGTCTTTTATTTTTATGTTTAAATTTTAATATATTTATGACATAATTATGATATCATGGTTCAATTCCAGTTGACCCAGCGGTTGAACTAGTGATCCTTAACCATGTCACTTTGCCGGTTTGCTCAACAGTCCGAGTTTCAAAACATTGGTTCAAAGCTTGAATAGAAAATGTGTTCAAAACATGGAAGTGGGGTTGTGACTATATGAGGCGAAATTCCTCATTCGGAGTGGAGTCATTTATCTTCGGTTTTAAATTGTAGATAATTAGTTAGATGAAGTTTGTGCCATACACTTTTGGAGGGACGTCCTCCCATCCCTACACCATAAGCACTCCATTATATTTTTTACTTCTTCTGGTCCATGCTTTGCTCACTTAAAGATGGTGTGGTTATAAGGGGTGTAAAACGTGGAGAGGGAATTGCTTTCTTTTATATATTAGATTTTTTGGTAAGTTTAAAATGGATATACAAGTTTTCTTAGATATTAGAGGCTCCATTTGGACATCATGCTGGTTGTTTAGCATTTTTGTTGACCTCTTTATCGTTAATTTTTCAGGGATTTTTTATTTATTTATTGGCTTTGGTCTTAGATTTAATGCTGACTGGACTCTCTTCATTTACCTGATGTCAAACTCTTTTTTTATTTCCCCAATTTCTGAAAATTCTCTTTTCTCACATTACTTTTATGATAACCTCTTATATTGATGGAATACTTTGTATAAATATAAGCTAGTTTTAGTATGAATTATTTAATATGCTGGGATGAAATTGTTGTTTGTTCTTGCAATTGAACCAGGGCACTCTGATCCAGCAAAGTTGAAGGAGACAGCAGAAAATGTCCAACGATTATCTCCAGACAAGCTAAAGAAACGTCAAATGGAATTAAAGGTCAGAACAATATTGTAGAAATACGATAAAGGTATTAAAATTTATTGTCCTTCATAACTATTGACATATATTTTTTATTTTTTATTTTTTGATAAATATAACTATTGATATATATTAAAAGTCCCCAGATACCATATCCTTGGACAAATTTTCTGGGGACATACTATATCCTTGGACAAATTGTGTTCTGTTTGGAAACATCAAGATGAATCGTTGTATCAAATTGCTGTGGACCTACTTGGTGTTATCCTCCACTAATCCAAGTTTTAGTTTTACCAAACAGCTTGTTATGCAGCCATGCATATGACTTCATGTCAAAAATAGGAATTTAGTTATCACACACTGCTTTTTCTTAAAAAGAAAAAGAAAACTCCGGCAATTGCTTGATATTTTTATATTACGCTTTGCATTTTCTTGTTGCTTGCACATGCTTTATGGTTTTATTTTTATTTATTTATTTATTTAATTTTTGGGCATATACAGGAACTGGTGGAAAGATTGAAAATGCCTTCTGATGCACAGTTGATGCAAATTGCAATAGATGACTTGAATAATTCATCTCTGCCTTCGGAATATCATCATCGTGCATTACAGGAGCTTTTGATACTTGTTGAGCAAATAGATAATGCAAATGGTGAGTACAATTTTAACAATTTTTGTAGAGCTAAAATGCATTTTTTCACCGAGACAGTCAATGCACAGTTTTCTAGGCATTTGCCTCATTTTGTTTAAGTAATGAAATACTATTTTCTCGTTTTGGGTAGATGATTGGGTATCTAACTCAAAGCAAAGCTGTCAAAATTATTCTGAATCATTGTGAGCTTTTTTTGAAAAAAAAAAAAAAAAAAATCTAAATAATTGCGAGCACCCAAAATTTGCTCCATTTCACTGGTGGTCTACTTCGCAGCATTAAGTTTATGTTCCTTTCTCGATAATACTATTCTCAAATGTCAAGATCATCCTGTCTTTGGAGCCAGGATTTGCATTTGTTTGAGGACAGTAGTTATATATAGACTTGACAAGATAGCTATTACGAGCTTTTTTCATTCTTAGGTTGGGACCAACCTTGAAAGTAATGGATTGCAGTCAGTCTCTGTTACATGGACTTGATTGGGCTGTGTAGGGAGATTTCTTTTAAGGTTGGGCAACTTGACGGTTCTCTCATATCACATTCTCATTTGCTTTATGCACGATACTATTATCTTTTGCAGCAGAAATACTTGGCTATTAGGTTACCTATTATTTCTGTTCCTATTTTTGAGGCAATGTTAAGTTTGAAGGTGAATTTGGGGAAGTTTGCTTTGATTCTGGTGGGTAATGTGACAATGTAGGGGCCCTAGTTTCTGTTTTGGGCTATGAAGTGGAATCCCTACCATAGACATCCCTAGGCTTACATTGGGGTCTCCTTCAAAAGTCAGTTATGTTTGGAACTCAGAGTTGAAAGGTTTCAAAGGCAGTTAGCAAGGATGGAAAAGACAAATATTTGTCCAAAACAAGGTCAGGCACTCTGATTAATAGCAATTTGTCAAGGTAGCGTACTTCATGTCTTTGTCAAGTTTGTAGGGGCCACCCATGGTGAGTCATTAAATATTGGGTTTTATTATGTCTAAAATAGTCTTAGTGGTCAAAATTTTCTATTTTGAATTCAAATCATAGTTGGGGTAGAATTAGATTTCATACTCATAGTTGGTCAAGAATATTTTTATTTGTAGTTATTGAATGTTCATAGCTTTTAAATTTGAACACTAGACCTTATAAAAGTAGGAGATTTTTTAGCCTATACACATATTTGTGGTCTCATTGATTCAATAGAGTTGATTTTTATGAGAGTTTGTGTTGCAATTGTGTGAATTATTGTCTAATCCTTATAAGGTTGAAGCACAGCGTATTTATTTATTTATTTCTTCTTCTTTATGCATGTACCCTAGCTACTATTCTCAGTTTACTATTCACAACTCTCAAAAAAGTCAATTTTCACCCTAAACCTCTATCCAATCATACCCAAATCAATCCTAATTTTTTTCCATACTTATTGGTCTTCAATTTTACCATTTAAAATGTTAAATTACTCACTGTTTAAGCCCTTAAATAGTTTCTGTTATGAGAATCCAACCAGTTGTCCTGCATCAATCCACTCTAGTTACCAATCTTTAGGGAAGAATCATTATTAGTTTTAGGGCCACAAAAATTGGAACTCTTTTCTCTATCTGGGTTGTGGATTTCTGTGTCATACAGATTGCTGTTTTGCTGGTTTTTTTTTATATTTATTTTATGAATGAGACTTGAAGTTACTCCATAAAAAGTTCACTTCAGCTCATAGCTGGTAGCTAGTGAAAACTTTCTAGACCATTTGAATGCAATATCCAGTCATCTGGTGGAGTCTCTATGTGAAATCTTTTTAGGTGGTCAAATTAAAGACTCATATTGGATCCCATCCATCAAAATTATAATTCAGTTGGGACAAGGCTTTATTGAGTTGAGTTTAGTATGTATGGTTATAATTTTGGCACATTGTATCCGAATCATTTGTGTAATGGGCCTTCTTTTCTCAACGTTGAGCTCTGCTCAAACTTTGTTGCTTTCTCCTCTATAAGCATCTGAAATATGACATTTATGTTTGTCAGATTTGCACAAACTTGGGGGTCTCTCTGTAATTATAAGAGAACTTAATAACCCAGACCCAGAGATAAGGACAACTTCTGCATGGATTCTTGGTAAAGCCTGTCAAAATAACCCAGTTGTTCAGAAGCAGGTACTAATATGTGGTTTTTTGTGAACATATATAGATGCATCTCGCATGTACTAGGTTTTATCTCTTTATTTTCTATTTTCTCTGTGATGTCATATATGAGATACCAATTGCTACAGGTTTGGTGAGTGTTTCCTCATTTGCATGCGAGTGATGTTATGTATACATTGTTTGATTTATGACTTGCGGATCTCAGGTCCTGGAATTAGGAGGACTGGCAAAGCTAATGAACATGGTAAAATCTAGTTTTCTAGAAGAAGCCAGAAAAGCATTATATGCTGTTTCAGCCTTGATCAGAAACAATTTAGATGGCCAGCAATTGTTCTATGCAGAAACTGGAGACTTGATGCTGCAGGTGATGCCAGCAGGAAAGGAATGAATATGGCGGATTAAAGTTTATGTTTGGGGCTGATTTTTGCAATTAATGGTTGTCTTGTAGGACATACTACGCAACTCAAGCATTGATATTAGACTACGCCGAAAATCTGTGTCTCTTGTGGCTGATTTGGCGGAGTGTCGATTACAAACTAGAAATATTGCAGAGCTACCTTTTTTCAGCAATCGTTTCTTCTTGAGGTCCGTGGTTGATCTAACAGCATCAACTGACCTGGATCTACAGGAAAAGGTATTTCTTCAGCTTCATCCTCACAGTTCACTGCTGCAAATATATTTTTTGATGTGGTTGTAGGTATTGGCGTGCACATACCAACAGTATTTAAATCCTTGTAGCGGACAAAAGACTTAGAAGTGAACATTAACATGTCTGTCTTGGTAGCAGGAAACTTCTACTTGAGTGATGTTCTTATTCAAAAATACAATTCTGCTCTGCACTCCCAAGTAAGAAACTAGCTCCTGTCAAGGAAGAAACTCGCTCCCAACTAAGATAGAACCTCTCAACTCAATTATACAAATATCGCAGAAATGAAAGAAAAGCAACTCAAACTTAGTATAGTTGTTTCTATTTGCATAATATTTATTCATATCATATTACAACTAAGTATAACACATTTATATATACATGCTCCCATAGGCACTCCCAACCTTAAAATTTTCTATATGCCTTCGTTTCCCCACCCCCGCTTCATGCAACTAAGGTATGTGTACTTGCTTGCCCAAAAATGAAGAAGGTACTGTTCACCTATGAAGTACAGAGACTTGTAGTCACTGTATCCACGTCCGACACATGTTGGACAGACACTCCTCGGACACACTGGGCATTTGCTGGACAGTCCTTTGAATTTTTTTTGTTTTGTTTTTGTTTTCTTGAATCATGCTTATCCTCCAAGAAAGAAAATTAACTGAGTAATTGTTTTTTTTTTTTTTTTTTTTTTTTTTTTTCGGTGGACACGTTAGGGACAGTGTAGGGGCACAGGTGTTGTGTCCGAGCACACCCTAGGCATGTTTGTGATATTGAAATTAATTGGTATCAAATTGTAATTTTAAAAGGTTCTGACCAATTAAAACTGAAAAATCGTGAATGCATCTTCTATTCGAACAAAGACCTCACTCTAGATAGGAAAGGAGTAGAAAGAAGCTGATAAAAAAACGGAGAAAGAAGTTTTGTTGCTGAATAAGCCCTAAAAAAATCACCTTTTTATTCCTCAGTGAGTGATATTTTGATGTAGACTGTAATTGAAATTTCATATGGATTTTACTTAATTTAATGTTGACTGATCTAGTAATTGAATCATTTTGTTATATTATTGGTAACATTTTAATAATTGTTAGTTGCATATTTTTAATCTCAAGTACGATCTTCATGTATATGACAAATAATATATAAAAATACACACTTTTTGACATATCCCTGCCTTAATCGTATCCAAATTGTTTGAAAATCATGATGCCACACGTGTTCGTACCCCTGTCACGTCCTTATCACATGTCCGTGTTTGTGGTTCTTAGTTGTACTCAATTTATAATTTGTTTGATGCCAAAATTTTACATAGTTGGCTAGTAAGTTTATGCATTTGTCCTTTTATTATCAAAGAGGGAGAATCAAGCTCCATTTTTATTCTATATTTCCCTTGTTAAATATTTTTTCCAACTATTGCAATATTCTTATTTGTGTTGTGTTGTGGATGGCATATGTTGAAGGCCCTTGTTGCAATTAAGAATCTCTTACAACTCAAGACCACTGAAGCTTTAGTTTTTAAGGACTTTTGTGGATTAGATGGAGCATTGCACAGGATGAGGCAGCAGTTGCAGCAGTTAATGGCAGAGGAATATCTTAGAGATTATGCACTGGATGTGGAAAGCCTTCGCAGGGAGGTGGAGCTGATTTTCCATGGAAAGCTGGAGAAGGTAAAACTGTAAAAACTAGGGCCTTTATATTTGGAATGTTTTCTGTCATGCTTAAATCTTGCAATAACTTTGAAAATGGCAGGTAACCCAGGTTCCAACATGATTTACGGATGAATTGTATCAACAGAAGGCACAAACCATGCTGATTACAATGCCTGTAATTTGTGGTTTGTTGATGTATGTGTACATAAAAGAGTCAATTTGATATAGGAGCCTACCTAAATAAGTTGTTCTTTGAAAATTTTCCCCCATTAATAGATAAATCTAATGACAAACTATTGAAAGGAGCTTCATGCATTGGCAGCTGCATCAATGGCATAGAACATTGCAGTTTTACACAAGGGTCATTCTTAAATGATGGGATGTTCTGCCATTTTAATTATTTTAGGTGTGTCCGTCGAAATTAAATTGCTAGTGATTGCTCTGTTGCATAACGGTTGTTTTACTTGCAACAATTGTATTTGTTAATTTCAAATGCAGACGTGTAGGATGCAATGTCTTTGAGAGCTTTCGAATCCATTTATATGATATATGCCTTCTTAGGAATTGATCTCAAGTATGGTGGTGGGCTAGAAATCTAGCAACGTCTGCCAAATCGTCTATCAATTAATGGGTAATGTAATGGTCCTTCAAATTCACTCTCTTGCTTTTGATCTCGACAAAGGGAAAGGATCTAAGGATAACTGTTTGTCTATCTACTAAGTAAGGTAAGTATCCAGTGGCTTGCTAAATACACACTATTGATTGGAAATGATCAGATCAGAATTTGCTTTGCTTATGTTGAGAGATTTGCAATGATCAGAGTACATCTCAGTGCAATGTCATTTCTCTCATACATCTCTTCGACAATGGTATATTGAGCACATGGTGTTTTCTCTTGGCACCATGATCATAATTTAAGCAAAAACTTTGATACCAACTACCATATGTAAGCGTGTATGGAATGAACACTCACGACAAGAATGCCACAAACAAATAAAAAAGATATATTATACCTAAAAAAATTATGTTATTAATCATCAAAAATTGATTTATAATAAACTATTGGGAAAATTATGTTAGAATTTACCATAAACCTACCACCACTACCACCTCACCTACTCCACTAAACCTAACCCACTACACCACTACCACCTCCACTTCACCTACTCCACCTCTCCACCTACTCCCAAACACACTCCTATATAATAGGAATCCTTGTAATTGTAATATACACAATTCAATACAATCTATCAATAATACAATTCTCTCTATATTTTTATACATTAAATCTTGCATTAATTTTTTTTTTTAGAATTTTGTATGTTTTTCAATTTAAACCTCAAGATTTCAGTTATAACAATTAAAATCATGATGTTACTTTTGTGTCACAATTTAATCCCTTTGTTCGTTTCTGTCTCATTCAGTTAATAGAAATCTGAGCAAAATTTTTAAATTCAAACTCACATATTCAAGCCTTTGTATTTCTCTTGTCATAATTTTGTTTTGCTTTATTTTTGCGTCATTCGATTTATCTCATAGCTTAATTTTCATTTCCCCTCTCATACGTCTTGTTCCACCTATTTTTTTATGCTGTTAGAGCTCTGAAACTGGCCAAGTATAAGATTTTTTCCTTCTTTTTTTTTTTTTTTCAAATTCAAATTCACATGTTTAAACCCTTGAATTTTCCTTATCGTAGCTCTGTTTCACCTCATTTGCGTGTCGTTGGATTTACTTCATGGCCTAATTTTCATTCCACCCCCACACGCCTTGTTCCACCTCTTTTTGTGTGTCGTCGGAGTTTTGAAAGTTGGTCAAAAATAAGATTTTTCTCTCTTATATTTTTTTTTTTATACTTCTATTTATTTATTTATTTTCAGATTCAAATCCATATGTTCAAGATCTTATATTTCCCTCGTCGTAATTTTGTTTTGCCTTATTTTTGCATTGTAACTCCGTGTCTCCTTGGCCACGCGCAAGCCAAGCTGCCATGTTGCCAAGGCTGTGCGTAGGCCGTGCTGCTGTGTTGCCAAGGCTACGAGTGGGCCATGCTGCCATGCGCGCATGCCAAGCTGTCACACTGCCAAGGTCATGTGCAGGCCTGGCTGCCATGTTGTCGAGACCGCGGCATGCCATGCTGCTATGTTGACTAGGCTATGGGCAAGGCCGTAGCCTTGGCCATGCGCATGCCAGGCTGCCAGGTCGTGGCCTAGGTTACGTGCATGACAAGCTGCTAGGCCACTCGAGCCGAAACGCTGGTGGCAGACATGCTAGGCCGCGAGCATGCCATGCTGCCACGCCAACCAAGCTGCGACCCTAGATGCGTACATGCCAATCTGGCATGCTGACCAGGTTGCGGCCCACATACATGTCATGTCGTGCTGTCAGCGAAGACGACCATGCAACCACTCTACACATCCCATGCTTGCCTATGGAGTTTCAATGCCATCAACCAAGCATCGGCATATGCCTGGCGCGCACCTTGGCATGGGCGTGGCTTGGCATTGAAACTCCATTGGCAAACGTTACACCTAAGAAGCATGGACATAGATGTGGATATGGACACGGTAATTTATAAAAAATGGGGACATGGACACAGTCAAAATTAATAAAAACTAACACTAATTTAATATAAAAAAACTCCACTCTTAAGTTAACTTTTATCATTTATTATTATTTTTCTTTAAGAAAGATCTATTAATTATTTAAATATAAGCAAAAAGTAATAAACATTCAACATTCAATATTTCAACATCCGACATCCATAAAAAATACTAAAGAAGATAAGACAAAACTAGCTGGTATGTCCTTAGGAAACAAAATTAATCAAATAAAGGGACATACATGTTTGACATTGCTATGACCCTATTTTGAGTGTCAATGCTTCAAAAAGTTGCACTATTTTGGCCAACATGGCAATTTGCCTTTTCAACTCGGTAATTTTCATCTCTTTAACATGAACTAGTGGGTGGCACACGGGATGCGTGTACAATTCAGATAACTAATAATAAAAACAAATAATAAAAATTTAATATCATAATATGCATGTTGCTTAAGTGATAAGTATGCTCTTAATGAAACCTAATGTTTTAGGTTCAAAATTTATTTACGCTGTGTATAATAAATTTTTTATATTAGCATATATAAAGTTGCCACGTGGCATAAGGAGGGGAAAACTTCACTAAACTAATATAGGCTTTCACTTAATAATAGTATAGATTCCCATTGTTCCTCCCAATTTTGGCTTCTTCCAAATTTACAGCAAAACCTCTACCTCTTTATTCACATTTCACCTTACTTTTCCATTTTCCTTTCCAATCCCTCTTCAAATTTCCCAACTAAACACAACATTAGGAAAATGCTCCGTAGCTCGAGCAAGTGAGGCTCGAATGGCCCGAAAAATACTACTTTTCTCTATTCTCTGTCTCTCTGTCTCTCTCTCTCTCTCTCTAACCTAACCTAAGAAACCTGAACCAAAAACATGCCTTTTCTCTCTTTCTCTCCCCTATTTTTGTAGACAAACCCACATTAGTCTCCATTACTCTCACCCTTCTCTATAACTTTCAAATATTTGCTTGAGTTTGATTTTGATTTTGGGCAGTGGGTGATTGAACTGTGGTGTCTTCGATTCTTTTTTTTTTTTTTTTTTTTTTTTTTTTTTTTTTTGGGTGAGTTTTCTGACCCCATTCTTTAATTGTCTTCTTCTTCGATTAGATTACCCTTCTTTGATTCTTCTTTTTTTCTAATCTATAGCCTTATTTCTCCTTTATTTTCATTCCGATTTTTTAATTTGGGTTTGATTTTGATTCGGTTTGGTTTTGGGTTTGATTTCACATTCTATTTGGTAAACAAAAATTGATTTTGATTTTGAAGAGGAAGAAGAACATCTTCTCTCTTCCTCCCCCCCTATTTTTTTCTTCTCTCTTCCTCCCTCTTTTCTCTTTCTCTCGCCTCTGTTACTAGTTTCAGAGACAAAAGAGAGGGAGAAGAAAAGAGAAAAAGAAAAAGAAAAAAAAGAACAAGTGAGATTATTCCTAGGTTACAAAGATTGGCCAAGAAAGATGATGGTGAAGATCTGGTGACACATGGGAGGTTTGGGGGAGAGAGAGGAGAGAATCCATTGATGAATCGGAGAGCAGAAGATAACAGAAGAGACAGGAAAAAAAAAAAAACGATGTCGTTTTGACTCCTTGAGCCACTCGAGCCTTGTATATTTCGAGCTACCTTAGTGGGATCGCAAATGTATATTCAACTTGGACTGAGACAAGCAACACTACACTCAAGGTTGTGAAAAAAACACTGATCTAAGCAAATTTGCATTGTTTGGTTTACACTTTTTTTGAAAATTGATTTTTTTTTTGAATTTTTAAAAATATTTTACGTATTTTTTTTTTATTTTTTAGATATATCTAATCTAGATACACTTAAAAAGTAGAATATTTATAAAAAAAATTAAAAAAATTCACCAAATACCAAAAAAAAAAAAAAAAATTGAAAATTTAGTACATTTTCATATTTTGTTGTATTTATTGAATTTTTTTTAAAAGATTTTTGTACAAATTTTATACTTTTAAGTATATCAAAATTTAGTGGATTCAAAAAGTAAAAAAAAAAATTTGATTAAAATATTTTAAAAAATCACTAAAAATACAAAAAATATGAATTGAAAACTCGGACTATTTTTGAAAATTTCAAACCAATCAGAGTGAACCAAACAATATCAGCGTGGAGACACAAACAACAGGACACAGCAACTCACACAATCACTAACATAGGTCTGAAATCATGATTCAATAAAAAATCAGACTCCTAATCGATCAGTAGGTCAATTGTGCAATCCGTGACTTTGTAGCTAGGTTGAAATTGAGCTGCGAGGCCATATCTAGATCAGAATCAAGATCAAATTTTGTTTCTCAAAACAGAGACAAAATTGAAGTCAAAACTTGATTCATGAAGTCTAATCTAGATCGCAGTCAGTTCGGGAACTCAAATCAAGGTCGAATCCATGTGGAGTCAGATTGAAATCAGAAAAGGAATCGCTATAGCGAACTCATATCAAGGTTGAATCAATGTGAGCTCAGATCGAAATAAGAAAAAAGGAATTGTGAGGTCGAACTCAACAGATTCTCGTTGCAATATAATAATCACAACAACGAAGTCTATTCAAAGATCATGAATGTGAATCGAAGGCCGAAATCAGATTGCAAAGTCTACTCACAGACCAGAATCAAATTGCGAAATCAAATCTGAGATCGAAACTAGAAATTGAAGTCCAATCTCTGATGAATCGCAAAGCACTGAGAAGTTGTAAGTCTTGCTTGCTCGAAGTGGCTCAACTAAAGGCTCGAACCACTATAATCAACTGATCAACTATTCGACACTAGGCTAGGGCTTCAAAACACTACACTATTCAAGTCTCATGAGGTAAGCGATATGAAAATCACATGCCGAATTAGGGTTTAAATCTAGTTCTCACAATTGAAACGGAGAAATCCTTCGCAATTCATGCAATGAATATGTAGGGATAAAAACAAAGGAGT